CTTGACTGGTGAGGTCATTCATCAGAAAGTGGCATGAGGAAAAGGTGGATTTAGAGGAGAAGCTGCATTTCCTATCTCTAATACCATGGTGTCACAGTATGTGTAGAGGGAGCTATTTGGGGTTAGAAAAGGAAAAAGAAAGCGTTGCAATTTAATATTGTATCTCTAGCCCTGCCCATGAGGGACGGGGTCTGACCAGAGGCTAACATTATTTCCACTATACTATTAGGCTTATATCAGATGGGTCTTAAATAGCATAATAGTTGAGAATCTAAAACCACTAGAGACCAACACAGTTTAGAAACAAGTGCTAGTGATGTGGTTTAGACTGTAAGGGCAGTAGGAACTCATAGCACTCAATCAATGAGGGTCAAAATAGAAGAGATGACACTTTAAATTTACTTATTGAAAAATGTTATTGAATATAGTACCTGTTAAGTGTGAGCCCCCAAGCCAAGTGCTGAGAATACACAGGTGAGTAAGACACAGTTCCTGGTCTCTACTCTCTAAGAGGAAAACAGGCATGATCACCTTAAAATTGACAGGATGATATATATTAGACTAAGTTGGCCAAAATAAAAAATAGTTATCTGGATATGTGTACACATATTCCACTGAAGAAAGATAAACACAGATACATATATAACAACGACGAGAAGGGTTATGAAGAAAGATAAGCAGGGTAAGAGAGAGAATTATTAATAGCAGGGGGAGAGTGCTGTTATACAGGATGTTTAGGGAATGCCTCTTCAATTAAGGTAACATTTAAGCAAAGGTCTGAAGGGGTGAGACTGAGCTCCCTGGTTGTCTTGGGGAAGTGCATCCCAAGTAACAGAAGTAAGTGTAAAGGCAGGCTTGTGCTTGGATGGCTAATGTGTCTGGATGGAATGAGTAAGAGGGAGTGTGGAAAAAGATGAGGTCAGAGAGGTAGCAAGGCCAGGTCATGAAGGCTATGAGTAGGACTTTGGATTTTACTTGGCATGAGATGAGAAAAGTCATGCAGAGAAATTTCAACTTGGTAGAGCAGGCAGGGGGAGCAATTGCAGATTTAGGGGTACAGGAAAATGAAAAAGGTGGAATCAGTATTTTAGGAGCTCAATTCAACATGCAGAATGAATTAGAAAGATGGAATTCAGAAAGACTATTCCACTAGTTCAAGTGCAAGATGTTGAAAAGTAACCAGAATGGGCAGTGAGAGGGCCGGGTGCGGTGGCTCACGCCCATAATCCTAGCATTCTGGGAGGCCAAGGCAGGAGGATTGCTCAAGGTCAAGAGTTCAAAACCAGCCTGGGCGAGACCCCATCTCTACTAAAAATAGAAAGAAATTAATTGACTAAAGATATATATACAAAAAATTAGCTGGGCATGGTGGCGCATGCCTGTAGTCAGGAGGCTGAGGCAGGAGGATCGCCTAAACCCAGGAGATTGAGGTTGCTGTGAGCTAAGGCTGATGCCACGGCACTCACTGTAGCCTAGGCAAGAAAGTGAGACTCTGTCTCAAAAGAAAAAAAAAAAAAAAAGGGCAGTGAGAATGTTAAGAGCTACATAAAGATAAAAACTTTTCAAAGAAAGCAATTTATTGGCTTGGTGTGGGATGAGGGTACTTGTGATGTATTAATAGCTTCGGAGCTGCTGACTTTAGATACAAAGAGATGTCCTGTCAGAGACAAATGAGGGCAAAAGGATTGTTCTTAAAATGTAGCCACAAGTAAGTTTCAGTGAATGAAACTATTGTTTGTATAAACCTGTTGGTAATTGAAACTGTTTTTTAAAATATAAATAGATCAATTTATAAAAAAACCCAAAAACTAAAGGACCTAAAATAATGTCCTCCTTCCTGAAAAGTAAATTGAATTGATCCTACTTATCACCTGACAATGAGCAAGCAGGTAAAGGGGGCCCTGGTGTGAGCCTAAGTCCATGTCTGCACATCAGCAAATTTTATTAGGAATGCTATCTACTTCCAAAATAAATAATCAAATGTAATGGAATATTCTTTGTATAGTGGTTATCTCCTTGCTGAAATAGTTTCTTGTCACTTATTTTGTTGTTTACAATTTTGTTAAGTAGGATTGAAGGCTCTGAAAATAATGTGCAGAAAATCTCATAATGGAAATAAGAATTGTGTATACGTGGCAGAAGGGTCCTGTTCTGGAAAAGATAAACAAAGTAGAATACATTATTGACATCAGTTTAGAAAAGTGTATGGTAGCGTAGAGTACATATAGGTAAATACTTAATATGAAAATTACTTAACTGTTTTTACATGTTACCTCATCTCAATTACTTAAGCATTTGATCTCAGTATTCTAAAGCTGATTACATTGGAAGTATAAAAAACATTTGAAAGACTTAACTATAGGGTTTTTTTGTTTGTTTGTTTATTGAGACATGGCTTGCTAGCAACAGCAGAGGGCTAAGAGTGTGGTAGCATCAGCACAGCTCACTGCAACCTCAAACTCCTGGGCTCAAACTCCTCCTGCCTCAGCCTCCCAAGTAGCTGGGATTACAGGAACATACCACCATGCCCTGCAAATTTTCTTTATTTTTGGTAGAAACAGGTTCTCCTAGGACTCCCAAAGTGCTATGATTATAGGCTTAAGCCACTGTGCCTGGCCCTGGAGGGGATAATAGCAATACAAAAACTTAGGGGTAGAATAAATTTTAGAAAAAGTATTGTTTACTTATTAGGAAATTATTTATGTTCACTTAACCTCATTTAACCAATTAGATTATTTGCTTTTTAAAATCTCTGAACACAAAGATATTGCTTAAACAGAACAAAGTTCAAAGAAAGCTTGATTTAACCAAATCAAACCACTGTGTCAAGGTCAACAAACCAGGATCATTCAAATAGAGTTCCAAAAAAAAAAAAAAAAGAATTAACTAATGTAAGTATGAGACCAGGCCTAAGCATTTGCTTCTTTGAAGAGTGACCCTGATTTTCTGTCTAATCTCAAGAAGGTTCAGTTTCTCTCTGAGATCTATTTTCTCTTTAAAACATTGAGAAGCTTGTGTTTGTGTATCTTTTTATGTGTTTTTGGATCTATGATTTGGGATTTTGTTATAGTGGCTTTAAGCTGAAAACAATTTGACCAAAACTATCATCTTTATTCATTCTAAAGGCAACTTTGGGCTGGGTGCAGTGGCTCACGCCTGTAATCCTAGCACTCTGGGAGGCGGAGGTGGGCGCATTGCTCGAGGTCAGGAGTTCGAAACCAGCCTGAGCAAGAGCGAGACCCCCGTCTCTACTATAAATAGAAAGGAATTAATTGGTCAACTAATATATATAGAAAAAAAATTAGCCGGGCAGGGTGGCGCATGCCTGTAGTCCCAGCTACTTGGGAGGCTGAGGCAGGAGGATCCCCTGAGCCCAGGAGTCTGAGGTTGCTGTGAGCTAGGCTGACGCCACAGCACTCACTCTAGCCTGGGCAACAAAGCGAGACTCTATCTCAAAAAAATAAATAAATAAAATAAAGACGACTTTGAATGTAGATCTTGTACAAGGAATATAATTGTTCATTTCCACCTATAGCAAATACATTTTTAGTGAGGTTTTGAGGCAAATGACATCAACAACAGGGTTAGGATAAAATTTAACATTTAGTTATTTCAATTTTTTACTACTTATTTTTCAGGTCTGACAGTGGTTGGTTTAGATCTTGCTTTTTTTGTTGTTTTGCTAACTTATTGGGGTTCAATAGATCTTGCTTTTTTTTGTAGATAACATAACATTTCATAGCAGGCACTTGATATCAAATGATTTAGGTAAGATGTACTTCACCCTGAGATTGCAAACCGGTGGCATGACATTTTAATCAACAGTACAAATCTGTAAAGGGCTTTATCATCAGCCCAGAGCAGGAAAAAGCTAAATAGAATGAAGGTAGACTGAGATCATTAAATAACTATGTTGTCTAATCAACCCAGTTTCTATCTCTTTGGCCTCAAAACTAAAAAAAGTCTACTTGCTAAAAAAAAAAAAAAAAAGAGGAAGTTTGAATTATTTACCTTTCTGTAAACTCTTAGAAGAGGAAACAAAACTGCCATTTAAATGTGCTGGTAATGAATCAGCGAGTTTCAAAATTAAAATAGCCTCTGAACCCTCTGGTCAAAAAGCCTCTCTTCAGCTTGATCACACTTTTATGTATATGTATATTATACGTATATATATATTTGAGGGAAGGAGTAAGGAGGGAACTTTATTTTCCTTTTTTGAGACACAGTCTCACCCCAGCAAACCCAGGGAGAGTGCAGTGGTAGCATCAATAGCTCACTGCAACCTACAACTCCTGGGCTCCAGCGATCCTCCTGCCTCAGCCTCCCGAGTAGCTGGGACTACAGGCATGCGCCACCATGCCCGGCTAGTTTTTCTATTTTTACTAGAGATGGGGGTCTCACTCTTGCTCGAGCTGGTCTCAAGACTCCAGAGCTCAAGGGATCCTTCTCGCCTCGGCCTCCCAGTGCTAGGAGCCACCACGCCGGACCTTGATCACACTTTTAACACACACACATATTTAGCCACCTCTTTCTGAAATCCTACACAATTTACACCCGGAATATGACGACGAAATGTGAAATGAAATACTGCGACGGGCATTAACCGGTTCAGCTACCAGGGGCGGTACGGTCGCAGCGCGGGACGATGACGTCAGTCGCGTCAGGTAGTCGTCGCAAAACTATCGGTCCCGCCCCACGAAGGCGGCTGCCGCATTCCAAAGTGCACTTCGATCTCTGCCCAGCTGGCCAGGTCACGTTGACGGCGGGAATTTCCGTAGCGGTGACACACAGCACTTCCGGCCGGCGGTGATAGTCACTGACGTGGCAGGAGAGGCCGAGCACGGTCCTCCTGGCCGGGACGCCAGGAGCTGTCAGGTGGTCTCGGGGAAACTCCTAGCGAAGAGCTGAGAGCGCCGGCGGCGGCTGCGGCCACTAGCCCGGAGCCGGAAGTGCCACGTGTCCCGATTGCGCATGCGCAGCAGGCGGCTGACAAGCACTTCCGTCCGGGGCCTCCCTCCTCTCCCGGTTTGGTTGCTACCTCCCGGCCGGGCGTTGGAGGCCCCACCGGCCGGACTCCGAACCCTCAGCTCCCAGGCTAGGCTGTGTCCGCCGGCGGGCTCAGGAGAGTGGGGCGCCATGCCTCGGGCTTGATGCACCGTGCTCCATTCTCCCAGGCTGCAGTCCTAAGTTGTGAACACCCGCCGTCCGCCTCAGCAGTCGGCTTTCAGCTCTCTGCCGGGCGCCGTTGTCGGCCCTGAACAGCTCCTTCCACCTCTGCCGCCGTCGTCATGTCCCAGCCGGGAATGCCGGGAACTGGCGGCGCCCCAGCCGATCTGCAGGCCCAGAACGGGGCCGCCTCGGCCTCGGGGTCTCCCTACACCAACGGTGAGTGCTGCCTGGGTCCGGGCTCGAACTGACCTTTGGTTTCTTGAGGCAGCAGAGATGGAGGGGTGGTCTCCCTGCTGGGGTTTGGCGCCGGTGCTGGTGGACGGCAGGGAGACCGCGGCGAACGTGCACCATAGCCTCAAGGCTTGTCTTAGTGTTTCATATTTATTTATTCAGTCAGCAAACAGTTAATGAGCACCCGCCGTATGCAACGCCGTCAGTAAACATAAGTGAGAAAATACAGACTTGGTCAATACCTCAGACCTGGAATCCCAGGATCACACACAGGGCCTGTGTGCTTTGACCCTCCCGTGCCACCGCACTCTAGTCTCCTAGACATCAGGGTTTGGAGTCCGATTCATCTCGGTTCTGTAGGCCCTGAAGTGGGGTGGGTGTTCTGCTCAGTCTGAGTTTGGGAGATGAATACATGACTGCTTATGGAAGACCTCTTTACGGCCTACTCATCTCTCCCAGAACCTTCCCAGAATTGTACCTAGGCCACCTGTTTTCAGCTGTGAAAGAACGAAATAGAAGAGAGGCTCTCCTGTTTGATTTCCAGAGGTGTTTACATCACTTGAAAAGTGGTTGGACACAACTCTGAACTTCTGACGAGAGTGTACATGTGGCAATGTAGTTTGTCATTTGGCATGAGAATGTCATAATTTTATACCTATTCTAGGATTCCTTAAATTGTCTTCTATTGTGGTATACTAAGTTTGTTATATGTTATAATAGAGAAAAACAGGTTTTCTGCCAACAACTTGCCTGCTTACCAATTTACCTACAAATCTTTGGTTTATGGGCATAAGACTAGTAGAATAGGAATACTAAAGTACTTAAATTGCCATTGGAATCCAAGATTGCTGTGATGGAGAGAATAGCCAATGATTAAAATTGCTAATTTACATTATTTTTAGAGAAGACTACTGTTTTCTTTACAAAGCTGACTCTAAAAGATTTTAAAAAATGCCTTTGAGTAGGCAGCTATGTGGGCAGAGGCAAGAATAAGTGGGGGAAAGACACTGACTGAAAGGGTGTTAAGTTGAATTAATTGTTATTTGTCAAATTTATGAGTTAACAGATTATGTAAACTACGTTTTATTCTAGGATATTTAGTAACATTACACGAAGGATAAAATCATTTTAAAACATTCATGTTAAGGTCAGATAACTTGAACAAGATGTCATATGGTTATGAGTTTCCCTTATAATCTATAAATTTTAATTTTACATAAACTGAAAATGGCAAATCCTCCAAATGTGCTTGTAAGTTTATATGTAAGTGTAGTTGTCATAATATTGAAATATTAAAGGAATTTAACCAATGTGATATTGTCACTATGTTGATTTGATCCAGTCCAACAGACATTTGTTGCACACCTTCTAAATTCTGTCCTTGTGCATATAAAAGATAATAAGAAAGCACTCCCTGTACATAGATTGCCCAGAACCAATTGGGAATTCAGACATGTAACTGGTGATTGCAGTTCAGGATGGTAGGAGCTGGAAGAATGTAGCCAACTGAGATGGGGAGTGAGATCATAGGACTGCACATATAAGCCTCTTTTAAAATATAATTTTGACAGTCTATTTATAAGCCCCATTTCTGAAGATAGAGATGTAATCTCTTTCTATAGATGTAATCTCAGTAAATGGTTAATGTCCTATATTGGGTGGCTTTATTGTTTATACTGCTAGGGGAGGGTATTTTTCTAGGAGGTGACAAAAAGTTTACATACTAGAGTCTAGTTTTGGTTAAGTGTTTCAAGGAGGTAATTGCTGCTTAAATATTCTATTGAAAACTTTTAAGCTTTAGATTTAATGTAGCTTGCTTAAATTATATATTATACTATAGTTGGATATTTAGATTTTTAAATATTATAATCAAAAGACCTAATAATAACCTTTTTCATTTTTCTATAACTTGCTTTCATATTGTATGGTGTCATTCTAGTACAGAATTCCTTATACACCAAGACATTTCTCTCGGAGATAAAGGTTTTTATGTAAGGAAGAGGTTTTTGTCTAAGTCTTTGTGTAGATTTGCGTATACATAGTTCCTTTGTGAAAATTGACAGTGAGACTGCAAGACTGCTTGAACTAACAGATCTTAATCTGATTATCATGTAATAAGGCTAAAGGCAAATAATGACTCCCAATATGAGTTAGTTGCTTTATTGACTATTTGAATAAACTTGTAAAGGCAGTTAGGAACTGTAGTTTTATTCATTTCAATTTTTGTAATATTGATGTAATATTCACTTTTTTATATATAGAATTATGGGTGAAAAGGATGTTCTCCTCTGCCTTTCCTCTCTCCCATTCCACTGTTATATTATGATTTTATAAAATAATATCTGACTTCCCTCTAGACTGTAAGCCCCATGAAGGCAAAAATGTCTGCTTTTGTGCATCTTTCTCTCTCCAGCTTCCCACACTGCCTAGCACATTTTAGGAGTTACTGGTTTTGTTGAATGAAAGTTTAAAATTGGGTATTTTGCAATTCAGTTTACTAAACATGTAATGAATTATTCATTATAAGATTAGAGCTTTCTTCTTTTTTTCATTTCTGTGGATTTTTGCACAGTATTACCAGCCAAACCAATAGTATATGTGAGATTTTTTTCTTGTTATTAGTATAACACATTGACTGTCACACTAGAAAAAAAAAATTTTTATCCTTTGGGCCATGATATTTTATTTCAAAAATAGAATAAAAACTTCAAAAACAAAACAAAGGCCATGCGTGGTGGCTCACACCTGTAATCCTCTGAGAGGCTGAGGCAGGTGGATCACTCAAGGTCAGGAGTTCGAAACCAGCCTGAGCAAGAGCGAGACCCGTGTCTACTAAAAATAGAAAGAAATTAATTGGCCAACTAAAAATATATAGAAAAAATTAGCCGGGCATGGTGGCACATGCCTGTAGTCCCAGCTACTCGGGAGGCTGAGGCAGGAGGATCGCTTGAGCCCAGGAGTTTGAGGTTGCTGTGAGCTAGGCTGATGCCACGGCACTCTAGCTGGGGCAACAGAGTGAGACACTGTCTCACCAAAAAAAAAACATGATCCTTTCTAATTTAATGAAAAATTTGTTATTTTTTATTGTTTTCTGTGCATGAGTTACATGCAAGTTGAAAAATAGTTCACTCGGGTTCTAAGGTAAATAAATAGACATTTGAGTTACATATGCTTCACCGGGCCCCGAGCTCAAAACTAGGGTGAGTTAAATACACTGGTAGTTGATGTGTTAAATGCTAGGCTTATGCTAATACTTCTATTTTGGGAGTGATAGAAAGGATCTTTTAGTTTCACTGTAACATAAACCATATTTAAATGATTGTTTAATATAGGAAGTCTTTAGTTGTGATCAGAGCATGCTGTGAATAAAAATGGTATATGATCTATAACACACTGATTGTTGTGATCAGGTTCCATTTAATGTTTTCAGTGGGGTCAGTACATCTAGATTCCCAGAATACTCTTCACATATCTCTATTAGAACTTACCACGTTGCATGTGGTAACCATTGAGCTTCTTGTTTGTGTCTGGGGACAGACCGAGAGCTCTTGAAAGACAGAAATAGTGACAGTAAAAACTAACATTTATTGTTCGCTTACTATATGCCCAGGCACTGTGCTAGCTTGCATTACATGCATTATCTCATTTAATCTTCACAACAGCCCTGTGAGGTAGGAACTGTTATTTTTACTGACAAGAAAACTGAGATGAATGGTTAAGCAACTAGCTCAAGGTCACATAGGTAATAAATAACAGAACCCAGATTTAAACACAGGAAGTCTTACTTGACCACTGTCATTCTACTTAAGTGGTTTTTTTAGTTGTTTGTTTGTTTGTTTTGAGACAGAGTCTCACTCTGTTGCCTGGACTAGAGTACTCTGGTGTCAGCCTACTCACAGCAACCTCAAACTCCTGGGCTCAAGTGATCCTCTTGCCTCAGTGTCCCCAGTAGCTGGGACTACAGGCAGACCCTACCACACCTGGCTAATTTTTTCTATTTTTAGTAGAGATGAGGATCTCACCCTTGCTCAGGCTGGTCTCAAACTCCTGAGCTCAAGCAATCCTCCTACCTTGGCCTCCCATAGTGCTAGGATTACAGGTGCAAGCCACTGTGCCCGGCCAAGTGGTTATTATCTCTGAATCCCAGTAGCTAGCACCTTGAATAAGTACCTGAATCCAGGATCAGAACCTTCTTTTTGGTTTCTTTATATAGGTAAATACTTATAATTGCAATAAGTATTTGCTGACATTTTAAAAAGCCACCAAGCTACAAGCTTGGTGGCTCACGCCTGTAATCCTAGCACTCTGGGAGGCCGAGGTGGGCGGATTGCTCAAGGTCAGGAGTTCAAAACCAGCCTGAGCAAGAGCGAGACCCCGTCTCTACTATAATTTAAATAGAAAGAAATTAATTGGCCAACTAATATATATAGAAAAAACTAGCCGGGCATGGTGGCGCATGCCTGTAGTCCCAGCTACTTGGAAGGCTGAGGCAGTGGGATTGCTTGAGCCCAGGAGTTTGAGGTTGCTGTGAGCTAGGCTGACGCCATGGCACTCACTCTAGCCTGGGCAACAAAGCGAGACTCTGTCTCAAAAAAAAAAAAAAAAAAAGCTGCCACCTACATTTTTTCCTTTGGATTTTAATTAATGCATGACCTGATGTTTTTGTTTAGCCCCATTTTTTTTTTTTTGCTGTTTCTTCATCACATTTCATGAATGTCCTATAGATCTTGAAATTGTTCGTATTCTACTTTGATTCCTAGCAGCTGCTTTTCCGCTTTTGTTGTTTTCTATCCCCCCACCCCCACCAGACACTCAAGTAGCTAGGACTAAAGGTGTGTGCCACCACACCCAGCTAATTTTTTCTATTTTTGTAGAGACAGGGTCTTGTTCTTGCTGCTCTTGCTTGGTCTGGTCTCAAACGCCTGAGCTCGAGTAATCCTTTCGCCTTGGCTTCCCAGAGTGCTAGGATTACAGGTGTGAGCCAC